AGTTGTATCTGCAACTGTATTTGATAATGTTTTGAACTTTTAAAATATTGCATGGTAAAAACAGAAGCTGCTCTTCATATTAGTGACAAACTTTGGTGTTTTTTGACAAGTTACTTTAGTTTTGCTTCTACTTTCCATTTAAAATAGGTTTCCATTCTCAGCAGGTTTCTAAGTTTCTTCTTCTACAAATTGAAAAAGTTGTTAAACATCTGAGTGGTGCACTACTGCTACAAGTGGTGAGAAAGTGTATTGCAACTTCTTCAAAATCAGTGCGGTCCCACGGCCCTCTGTGGCTCAAAGTTAAAAACTGTTGTTCTTTTGAGACCCTCAAGGTGGTGCTCGCGGCCCACAATTAGGCCCATAGGTTAAGAATCTCTGGCCTAAACTATAAACATGGGGGTACCAAAGCCAAAATGGGTATGTTGTACATGGACAACAAAAAGTAATGTGCACAGCCTAGAAGGCTCACAAATTTCCCAGAATTCTAAGTCACCAACATTCTCAGTGAGATGACAAGAGCCCAGTGAGATACCACCATAAGGTGCAGGGTCAAGGGGTGAGAGAAACAAACGACAGGTGGCCGTCATCACCRCCAGGGTGAAGCCCAACACACAGAACGTGACAGCGACAGCAGCGTTGCTAACCGCGCTCTTGGGTTGATTGTCTCCAAGAAATCTGATTAGTTCTTCATCTTGTATATTTATGTACCAGAACCCTGTATGTATTGTTATGGCTGGCTCACGGCCACAACAAAAGAGGGAGACGAGACGACAGGTCGTAAAAAGGACAAAACATTTATTACAAGAAAGGAACTAAAAAAGATTAAAGATTGGCATGATGCTAAGAAAACAACGCCCAGCCGACAAGCCCTGCCACACGCCACGCGTGCCAGGAAGAAAGACTGAATGATCCAAGAGGAAGAGGAGGAACAGGGAGGAGCCAACACCAGCATCCACACCAATGTCTGAGGCAAGCAGCCTTTTATACCCGGTGCTCCTGTTTCACAACACCTGCGAAAAAGGGCAGGCACAACACAACGCACACACAACCCCGCCCACAAGGCCCAGGGCTGTGACAATATGAACTAAACAAATTTTGTGAGGCCAATGATAATATTGAGAAAMTTACAAAACCCACRCTAAGATACGACTTAATGTTGAAAAAACGGTAATGCTTTCTTTTACGGTACCCTTATGTAATTACAAGGTAATAAAATGGTAATTWAATGGAAATTACTACTACCTTATTACCATGTAATTACGTGGTAATTAGGGTACAAAAGGAAAAACTACTGTTAGTAAAGCTACCTTTGTTGGGTAACTACAATCAAATTACCATTCAATAGTAACTCAACACTATATTTATAACCAAAAGAATGCAACTAAATTTTGGGGTTAGTGGTTAATTGCAATAAAATATAACTTTAAAAATGTACAAATTACCTACTACTTATTTAGGTGTTACATAGTGAATTATAATATATTACCAGGTAAGTGCTACATTACTGCAGACATTTAATTACATAGTAAAATTGTACCCTAATTATCATGCAATTACATTGTAATAAGCTAGTAWTTACCATTTAATTACATTTTTATCACCTTGTAATTACATGGTAATAAGGGTACCGTAAAAGAAAGCGTTACCAAAATAACTTACTGGACAACTTCACCCTGATGCCATCAAGTTCCCATACAGCTGCCTTTTTCATGTATATATTGGTAATTATGAAAGCCGGACCCAGCTAAATCAATGGCTTTGTCCATTTTGAAAGTGTTTGCTGACAACAGTGTGTAGCCTACTCTCTGCTCATTGATTAGTCGATTAAACCCTTGCTGACTGGTTGTAGTGCCATGCAACAGCAAYAAAAGTTGGCATACCTGTGAAGTTGTATAGATTGTCTATAAATAACAGGGATTTTCCCACATTGTGCTGGTATGTGGAGGCATAGAGAAATCTTTTTAAAAAACTCAGCTTCAAAATTATTATTTATGTCTTAGATTATAATAATAGATTTATATCTATTATTTATTTATTATTTATAATTATTATTTATGTCTTTATGTTTTTTTACGGCCTATAGGTCGTAAAAGAAACACATACCGTATTTATTCAAGTATAATACGTAAAATTAAATCCATAATATCATCCATAAATTTGGGGGGTAGTACTATACTTGGAAAAATATTTTTACTTGTGTATTTTAACTGAAATATCAGCTTCATTCACATAATGCCTGAGTCCGGAAATGAGACCACAACGTAAAAAGCAGTTGAAACAAGCTGACCTGTGACACTTCTCCGTGCTTCAGAGTGAGATAAAAACAGATCCAGGCAGGCGACATGTTGTGGAAAAAAAAGGGGGGGCAGTAGTCCTGCACCTTAGTAATGATAATGAACTAATGACATTAGCGTGTGACCGGGCCGCTCCTGGAACAACAACAAACACATGTTCGTCTGTAATGGCTGCAAAATAAACATAATAATATATGGGTTGACTTAGATGAGTTGACCAGTGTTCTGAAAAAGTTTGTATCCCTGAAAAAACGTTTCCCCACCAGAGGGGGCGCTCGCGAGTAGGAAGTAATC